TGCAAAGGATAACACCTTTGATATCTGCATCCAGTTGTGGTTGGCGTGTCTCAGGCTATCTGTCACAGTGTCTATGCTTTTTATTTTCCCTTGTGTAAATAAATTGGCAAGTTTGTAAATGCTACTCCCCTTTCCAACCTTTAAACTGAGCTAGTTTGTCTGTGTCATAAAAGTTCAGCTGTAATAGAAATAGGGAAATGGGGGAGGGGCTTCGCGCTAGTATATGAATCCATTATTTCCAAATAAAAAAGGAATTATAAAGAAATGGGTTTTGAATCTCTCTTAATGTTCTCTGTGGCTTAATGGAGAAGAGCAATTTCAACTCAGCCATATTATAGAAAGATTTAAAAGTTTCCATTCTTTAAGTTTTATTTTCATCCATTTAATGATGGGATTATATTTTCTAGGGATCAGCTGGGATACATCTTTTGTTATCAGGATGTCCAGGTGTGAAAACCCTGAGGGACATAATCGTAGACCAGTAGTTTTTGCTGTGGTAGTTTGGACCATAGACAGAGTGGTCAATTTGGATTTTTGGTAATTAATCTTAAGACCAGAATGCTTTCAAAAGACGTGTAATGTGTTTTTTTATTTTGGGGGAGGAAGTTTCAGGTTGTTGCACCACCAGTAAGATGTGATCTTCATATACATAATTTTGTGATGGGACTTACTGACTTCTAAACCCTTTATGTTTGAGTTTGACCTAATAAGTTCAGCTAGAGGTTCAATGTAAAGTGCAAATTATATGGGTGAAAGAGGGTAGCCTTGTTTAGTGCCTCTGTATAAATTAAACTTCTCAGATTCCATCCCATTTATTGACACTGTCACTTCTGAGTTTCTGTATAAGTATTTCAAAACAGATGTGAAGGTATTGCCAAATTCCATTTCTTTTAACACTCCAAACAATAAATGCCATTCAGCCCTATCAAATGCTTTTAAGGCATCTAATGAAAGGAGGACTAAAGGTGTTTTTGTTTGTGAGGAGTGGTGTATTAGATTGAGGACTCTAAGTATTGAGTCTGTAATTTTCCTGCCTGGCATAAAACCTGTATGATCTGGGTTAATATAATCCAGGATGAATTTATTTAATCTGGTTGCCATAATGGATATGAATAAATTAGCATCCTGGTTCAGTAGTGCTATCGGCCTGAATGCCATCACCAAGGGCTGCTCATTTTGCAACTTCGGGATGGGAATGATTCATGATCTGTGCCAGTTGTTGGAAAGGAGGTCATCACCATGCATGACTTCATTAAAAAGGATATATAAAGAAGGAGCAAGGTTATTATTAGAAGTTTGTACAATTCACCCCAAAAGCCATCTGTACCTGGAGATTTAAATGGTTTTAATTTGTTTATGGCTTTTTAAAATACCTTCCAATTCTATTGGTTTGTTTAGGAGGGAGTGATGAGATTCAGAGAGTTTTTTCAGTTTCAGCTATTATATAAAATCTTTTTTAGTTGGATCACCTGAGATTTCTGATGTGTACAGGGTTTTATTAAATTCTTTGATAATCTCGTTGGTAGAGTTGATTAGTTTTACATTGTTGGAAGACAATGACAATTAGTTTTTTTGTTAGCTTTCCTTTTGATAGCTCTGGCTAATAAACAGTAATTTTTGTTATTTAATGCATAATAATATGCCCTGGTGTATTGTTGTGAGACTTGTATTTTCTTATTCTCCAGTTCTGTTTCTTCTGACTTCTTTTTTAATAGGGTGGTGTATATATTTGGGTTTTTGGTATTTATGTGTGCTTGCTACAGTTGTTGAATCTCTGACATACCCGTATTTTCCGGCGTACAAGACGACCGGCCATATAAGACGACCACCAACTTTTCCAGCCAAAATATAGAGTTTGGGATATACTTGCCGTATAAGACGACCCCTCTCCCAATGGGGGAAAATGAGAAAGTGTTGGGGGGAAGGAGTGCCAATAAACTAGGTGATGCATTCTGGGGTATGTACAATTTGCGGCCAAGTAAGTGACCCTGGGCATGTCACACACTGTCATCCTCAGAGAATGGTAATGGCAACCCCCATTTGAAGAAACATCCCAAGAAAACCCCAT